AGCTCATCATTGAGAGCTCTGCCTGGCAATCCCCGAGTGAGCCGGGCTGACAGTGATTATGGCTGACGTGTGTGTGTGTGTGTCCCTCAGGAGCTGGGTTTTCTGGACAAGAGGAACCGGCCGCTGACTCACGCCACGTACAACCAGACCGCCGTCAAGGCACTGAGCATGAAGGAGCGGCGTCCAACCAAACTACACATTCCCAGTGGCCTGAGGCAGAGGATCCAGGAATACCTGCTCCAGGTCAGTCAGTCTTCACTCCAGGCCTCTCTCTGTCCATTATCTGGTGTATCTCTCTCTCACTCTCTCTCTCTCTCTCTTTCTCTCACTCTCTCTGTCTCTCCAGTATCCAGTGTAGAGAAATAGAGAAATAGGATAAAAATAGATAGAGAAGAGGCAGTTAATGACTGTGCATTTTTCCGGGTGCGACAGCCGCGGGGCAGTGAGAAGCGTTGGGGATGACCCCCTGAGTGAGCGCCGCTGGACAAAGGCACATTGTGGCGGTGTTTGTCTGCAGTGCAGATGGTTTGGGACAGTGGCGGGGGGGGGCGGGGCTCGGGGCTGTCAATCAGCGGGGAGGGGCGGGGCTCGGTGCTGGCAATCAGCATGGAGGGCGGGGCTCTGGGCTGTCAATCAGCGGCCTGGCTCCACCTCCCCTCCCTCCTCCTCCGACCTTGCTGGTCGCTGTCAATCACACACTCCCGCCCTGCTCATAACCACCCGATTGGCTGTCACGTCACAATGCCGCCCCCCCCCCCCCGCGCGGGGCGGCCAATTGGCCGATGGACATGTCAATCCCGTATGGCCCCTCCCACCCCCGCGGCCACACAGACAGACGGACGGACTGCACACCAGGTCGAGGCCGTTGGTCGGTCGCACTGATTTGATTCAGTCAGAGAGCGAGAGCGGGAGAGAGCGAGGCGGCCCCCGACAGGATTCCCGCTCACACACACGCGCACACAAGGTGGGGAAAGCATGAAGCTCGGCGCCGTCCCGCTCGTCCGTCGCTTTCTCCCGTCGATTTTTTTTTGTGTGTGGAAAAGAAATGTAAACTTTGATTTGAGTGACTGAGGGGCGGGAAGCTGCCGGGAGCCGGATGTCCCGCCCCGCGGGCTCCCAGTGACCGTTAGAAGGCATTGGCGCCTCCTGATTGGCCGCGGCGTTCGCGCTGGCCCTGGGAGGCTGCGGCAGCCATTGTCCGGATTCGCTGACAATCGCGAGGCGCAGGGTGGAGGCGGGACGATGAGAGCGGGGCGGCGATTGGCCAGAGGCTTTGTCAATCGTGGTGGGGTTGGAATGCTGGAAGCCTATTGGTCCAGCTTCCTGTCAGTCAGCAAAGGGGGCGGGCAGCAGTATGAGGTTTGGAAGGTGATTGGTCAGAACCCGTGTCAGTCGTAAGAGAACGCGCCCGCTATTGGGCGGGATCCCTGTCAATCATGGTGCAGGGGGTGGGCACGTATAATGCCCGAGTAACGTGGGTGTGCTGATTGGTTGACGTGACCAGAGCAGGGACCGCCCCCTCCCCCTCCCCACCACACACACTGCAGCTCGGACACTGACACCTTCCAGTCAGCCGCTCCACCAGGTAATGCCCTGTAGCCCCCACACCTGTGTGTGCCCCCCCCCCCCGCCTGTCCTCCTCCCCGCCAGTCTGCCCTCTGCCCCCTCCCCGCCAGTCTGCCCCCTCTCTGCCCCCCTACCCGCCCCCCTCCTCGCCCCCTGCCCCCTCCCGCCTGTCTGCCCCCTCCCCGCCTGTCTGCCCCCTGCCCGCCTCTCTGCCCCTGCCCGCCTCTCTGCCCCCTGCCCGCCTCTCTGCCCCTGCCCGCCCCCTGCCCCCTGCCCGCCTGTCTGCCCCCTGCCCGCCTGTCTGCCCCCTGCCCGCCTGTCTGCCCCCTGCCCGCCCCCTGCCCCTGCCCGCCTGTCTGCCCCCTGCCCGCCTGTCTGCCCCCTGCCCGCCTGTCTGCCCCCTGCCCGCCCCCTGCCCCCTCCCCGCCCCTGCCCCTGCCCGCCTGTCTGCCCCTGCCCGCCTGTCTGCCCCTGCCCGCCTGTCTGCCCCCTGCCCGCCTGTCTGCCCCCTGCCCGCCCCCTGCCCCCTGCCCGCCTGTCTGCCCCCTGCCCGCCTGTCTGCCCCCTGCCCGCCTGTCTGCCCCCTGCCCGCCCCCTGCCCCCTCCCCGCCCCCTGCCCCTGCCCGCCTGTCTGCCCCCTCCCCGCCTGTCTGCACACCTGCGTGCCCGCTGCCTGCTTCAGGGTGTTGTGACATGAGTCACTCTGTCACTGAAATGATTCTAACTGCTTTTATTATCAGTGAGCGCGCTCGTGATGTGAGGGTTGATTTCTCGCTGTGCGTGTGTAATGTGACTGCGATAGCAGTTGTGTGTAACGTGGGTGAGGCCAAAGTGCCCCACGAGTGAAAGCCGGTGCATTACATGAGGCTGAACGGGAATGCAAGGGAGTTTCTCTCTCCCGGTGTCCCGGCCGATAATCCCTCACATAAAAACACACCTGTTTGTGGAACGTTGCCGTGTGTGCTATTGGCTGCTGCGTTTGCCTACATAATACATAGTCACTACACTTTATACTGTAAATCCTGTGAAGCGCTCGTAGATATCCTCCTGATACCGAATGCGAGGATTATTATTATTATTATTATGGGTGGGGCGGGGGGGCAACACGGATAAGAAGGGTTTAGGGGTATGGAGGCTATTTGAGGTATCATTGTGGACAAGTTAGGCCCTAATGGCCAGTTTCTGTGGCGCAACAGCCGGTGTGTAGTGAGAGAGAGAGTGGAGTTGTGCGATGCCTCTTAAAAGATTTAATCTGTGGAATTAATTTGGTACGTTTGTGTGTGTGGGCGGCCACGTGTGATTATCTTTTGATTGAATCTGACATTGTGTGCGGTTCATCTGTTATGAGAGAGCGTGTGTGAAGTGGGGCGGGGGACTGCAGCACGAGGAAGGGTGCGGTCAGGACCTGACCAGCGCACAGCTTGAGTGGTTCCTGCTGCAGTTTACGCCGATTTTCACATGAAGGGTGTCGTGAAGTGAGCGGCAGACACGCGTGTGGCGGGGGGGCAGAGCGGTTTCAGGTTAGCCCAGCCCGCGGGGCAGCATCCGCCCCGGAGCGAAATGCCAAGTCATTGCTTCTGCATTCCACTTGTCAGGCTTCACACATCAGCTGGTTCTCCTCCCCCTGCAATCTTCACGCTCCGCACTCGCCGAGTGTTGTTACATTCACACGTGGGCACTTTACCATTCACAAGAAATCAAAGTTCCTTCTCCCCCATCTGATGTTTTACTCAGAGTTAGCTCATGCTGCGGAGCTCTGCTCACTGCCCTGGCTGGCGGCCACAGCAAGTCTGTAGTATAATAATAATAATCATCCTTGCATTTGGTACAGCGCCTTATCATGTCTGCGAGACGGCTCATAGGCGCTTCACAGGATATACCGTCAAGTGAACTGACGAATATTTTGTGGGAGAAACAGGCAGACGATTGCGCACGGCGGCGTCCCACAGACGGGTGTGGGATTGACTGACCAAATTATTAGTATTTTTTTGTTTGAAGGGATTATTACCCCCCGGAAAAGCGAACTACAAGTCGATTCACCGGGTTCCTACTTACTGCTTGTTAAACAGAGGCGAGTGGAGTGAGGAAACGTGTCCCAACATTTCGCCCTAGTTTTTGTCTGACCTAAGCTCTCTCCCTTTCTCTCCCCCGCCCCCTCCCGACTCCTCTGGAGGAATTTGCGTCCTGTGGTCAGAGCCAGCCAACCCGGTTTCCTCAGTGCTGCTGCTGCTTAACAACAGCGAAAGCTAACGTTTGCCCGGCTCTGTTCGTCCAGCCTTACACCCCGCCCAGCCCTTCAAGCACACACTGCCTATCTTGTCCAAAACAATAGAACCAGAGGACACGGCCTGCGATTGAAGGGGCGTAAAATTTCAGAACCCATCTGCAGAAACACCACTTCGGTGAGCGAGCAGTAAACTTATGGAGCAGCCTTCCTCCAGGTGGAAGCAGAAAGTGTGCATTCTTTCAAGAACAAATTAGAGAGATTTCTGCTAGAAAATAATATCTCAGGATGGTGGAGTGCAAACTGGATGGACCTTGGCCTTCTTTCGTCTCGCAAATTCGTATGCTTTTACGACTGTTCCCTGTAAGAGCCACCATTAAACCCCCCCCCCCCCCGGCCTTAGTTGCCCTCTCACCATTTTATATTTTTCTCTCCAAATTCCTTTCCTTTTCCATCCTCGCCCGGCTCCACTGGCTCCCCATCTCCCAGAGGATACAGTTCTAAACCTTCGTCCTCGCCTTCAAGGCTGCCACGGCCTTGCTCCTTCCTCTCTCTGTGACCTGCTAACCCCATATCAAACTGTCCGCTTCCTTCAACCAGCAGGCTCCAGCCTATTCCGCGTCCTCTGCCTGGCCCACCTCACCATCGGCAGTCGGGCCTTCAGCTGCTCTGCCTCCACTCTTTCGAACTCCAACCCACATCCATCCCTCACTTGCCTCCTTGAAGGCCTGTCTCAAAACCCTCCTCTTCAGCTGCGCCTTCGGTCACCCTCCCACCCTTACCCTCCCTGCCCTCCAACCCTCCTGATCCCAACCACCAGCTCGGGTCCAAATCCCGGACAGTCCAGTGCCTCGTGACATCCTCTCGACGTGAATGGCTCTTTACAAATGTAAAAATGTTGTTGTTGAAGATCCACCTTAAAATGTACCTCTGATTGCGCTTTCATTTATCTTTTCCCCTTCTGCTCCCCTGGCTCCCACCCCCCAGGCAGCACTGCGAACTTGCTTTGAGACATCCTTCCAGTGTGAATGGCGCTGTGTAAGGATGATTTGTCTAGCTGCCACTTAAAAGGTATTACGCAGTGTTTGGTCGTGTATTCATCGTCCTGACAGACCTCACAGGCCCCCACACAGGCGGGGCGGTGAGTGCTGGAGGAGGCTGGCCCTTACCACTTGCTGTTTCGGTGAGTTGCTGACGTTAGCCACGAGCAGAGGTTTGCAGGAGGGAGGAAGGGAGGGAGGAAGTATAGCAGCCAGATGGACGCCCACATTGGAACAAGTCTCCAGCCTTTGCATCGTCTTGTTGGGAAAGATGCTGGCCTGGCTCAGTCTGTGGCTCTTTCACCTCTGAGTCACAGAGTGAGTGACGAAGCCCATGGCAAGGCTTTGAGCTCACAGTTTAGGCCGAGGCTCCAGTGCAGTACTGGAGGGCTCCAGAGGTGCTGTCCTTCAGATGAGATGTTAAACTTGCTCCTTGATCAGGTGGACGGTAATCTCGCACACCGTTAAACAAGAAAAGGGAGTTTTTCTCGCCTGGGGTCCTGGCCAACTATCTTCCAGATAAATGGCTTGTTCATCTCATGGCTGTGTGTGGGAGGGGCCCTGTGCTGTGCACGTAAGTGACTGCTGTGTATTGCTGCAAAGGCCATTAACGTAACAATGATTACAGTGAA